CGATGATATATTCCTTTTCCCAGTTCCCACTTTTCTTGGGAGACTTCCTATATCATGAGGGATCAAGCGAATCGTTCTTTCTAGAAGGCATATAAGTTGAGAATCCTCAAAATCTTGAATGAACATATGCTGGGCTATTTTTTGTTAGGGTCTGTCAAATAACTTTTATTTATATTTATATTTTATTATTTTTATTTAAAAATTATTGTTATCAAACAGGTATTAAACTATTAAGTATAATTTATATAAATATAGGTGAAATTTTAATTATACAAATATAAATAACAAATCAGGTAAAAAAATTAAATAAACAAATCTAAACCACTATACTTAATACTCACAGATACACTCTTTTTATATTCATTACTTTCTCAATTATATTACCATCTCAATTATCTCACACGGGTACAGTTCTTTACCTAAATTGGTATGGTACTCATAAGGAACGGTATAACCATAGCCAATGCTCACCAATAAATAAAAAGAGAATTCAAGTGTAAGAGTTGAGACTCCGACTAAGCCACGGTCTTCTTGTCATCCACAGAAAACATGTAAAATATAGAACGGTAAGAGATAAATTAGACTTCCACAGAAGACATGGTTGTAAAGCAGTCACTAGCATAAAGTTGCAACGTTAGAGCCACCTTTGCAAAATGGTTCAAGGCCAATAAGCATGGCCATTGATGATAAAAAGCTTACACATTGCTGCAACTAAGCCAAGGCAAAAAGTACTTTTAAGTCCACATTTGGGGCATTTGGTAGATACCTGGAAAGGATACATTACCAAAGAAAACTCTCTAGGCAGGCAGCTTCTTCGGACGTCCAGGGAGGGTCCTTCACAAGCCACAAATGCACTAGCATAACTTGTAGGCAGGCTTTGATACCATATTTTCTTCAGCTCATTGCAGTTGTCAGTATGTTGCAGTAGACAGCTAAGTATTTGACATTTGTTACACTTACATCAAAACACCGGGTCAAATATGGGGCTATCATGTACTATCATTGTTACAGCACCATGGAACCATTGGATTATTGGTACATCGCTATAATGAAGTTGAGCCATGGTGCCTACGACTTTCCTACTAATTTACATGATACATGGCTGGGAAGAAACTTTCAACATTAATGATTTTAAGGCACTTCGATGTTGATGTATGGTGGTATTAGCCAATTGCTTTGCCCTAAAAGTAGTGATCCTTTGGCACAGAGCTTTCACCAGGAAGCTCATTGTCGTGGTACTGGTGGTGTTGCTGCTTGGTTCTGCCCGTAAAATCCAATACCTGGTGGTCTGTAAAATCCTCCAGTAGCTGGTTGTTGCTGTGGTGACTGTTGCTGAGGCTGAGCCTGTGGCTGCTGCAGATGCTGAGACTGAGGCTGCTGTAAAGGTTGAGAAGTAGGCCTGGCTAAATTCATTGCAATATGTGGTGGCAGAGGAGGTGGAGGTGGTAGTGTATTTGTTCCATAACCATAAGGCATTACCCCTACCATCAAACCAGTAGATTGAGGATATTGACCTGCTGGAGGATTTGCGGGAGAGAGAGGTGGTGGGGGAGGTGGGGGTGGAGTAGGAGCAAATGGAGTTTGAATTTGGTTGCCTTGGGACATAGGTTGCATGCTTGCAGAAGGTGCAAGTGGCATGTTGGTTATTGTTTGCTGTAGTGGTGTAAAATAGGCTGCATTGCCTGCATCTGAACTGCTGCCATCTGACATAGGCATTGGTTTCTCAAGTTTGGGACGCTTTTCTGGGGAGAAAATTGGTAATCCTGTTGTAAACCCACCAGATTTTAAACTACCATTTATAGAGGCAGCCTCTTCAGCAACAAGTGATGAGAGCACAGAGGTAAGCATCTGAGCAGAAGATGTAGAGGCAGCAAGCTTGGCAGCAACAGCAGCAGCTGCTGCTTTCTTGCTCTCTTCATCAGTTAGTTTTGAAGGTGCAAAGGAAATCACAGGTTGAGGTGGTGGCAGAGGTGGTAGAGGTGGAGTGCTGGTTGGCTGAGATAAAGGCAAGCTCTGCTCTACCATCTTCACAGCCTCTGCACCTGGGATAGCTGTGGTGCTTGGAGGGCCAGGAATAGGAGATGATGTTAGCCTCCTCCTTACATTGTTTACTTGTTCAACATGACCACGAGCAACCTGCATCACCATTGAAGTTCTAGATCATTCAAGAAACTATTTAACAAGTTGAAACCATCATATTAATTTGCAAGGGATATGTACACCCTCACCACAAATAAACAGTGTAAGTATTTTCAATTATCTAATGCAAATAAACTATGACTCCATTAAAATTTATGATCATAAATATTCAGGATTTGAAAAATAAAACCATTTAAACATGGTAAATTCCGGAAACAGAGTTGGACTAGTTGGGCCAAAGGTATCGATGCCCATGTTATACACAAAAAATAAAACTAAAAATAAAAATAAAAAAATTACCATGACCATGTAACTTTCAAAAGAATTATTAAATAAGAGAAAAAGATGAAATATATTATAATATGAATTAGGCTCAACTTACTCACAACTCATACATACATCACTTGCACAAAATCTTGACCATTCATCTCTCCACTATGAATGATTGAGATTTATCTACTTTTATCCTATTTTTTGAAGATAATTGTTTTGTTCATCTAAAAAGTCATGATATATCTCAATTATTCATAGTGGAGAAATGAATGGTTAAGATTGATGTATCTAAGAATTGTGTGTAAGTTGAAACATATTCCCACATTTTGTATTAACTTATTAGATTAATGTGTGCATTTTGAATTGTTGTGACTAGCATCTGAAGCTTGTATGGTGTTTGCCAAACTACCTTCTAAAAGGTGCTCTAAACTGTTATGATAAATTTTCGAATTTGGCTAGAATAATTTGACAAGTGCTGCAAAGCTAATAGATAGATTGATATTCTTTAGGTAATATACACATATTTTTTTAAAAAAGGAACATTATGGAAAGTTTCTTATATGTTTAATATAGTCAATCATAGTCATCAATTATTTTAATATGATTATATTTATAGATTTTTTATTTTAAATATAATTATGAAATTGAGAAATTTATACTCCTACATCTAAATGATTTCTAATTAATTAAAAATATTAACAA